ATAATCTAATCTTCAAATCCCCATGTAAGCTTCACCCCACCTGCATTTTGCAAATAGTCCAGTGCCATTTCTTAGTAGTGCTTCTCATATTTGAAATGGCTAGCTGGCAGAATTTAGAATTTAACCTTCTTGTGCTTTGTAAGAGTGAATTATCTTCATTTTCAGATGCTGAGAGATGTTCAAAGAAGGCCATGGTTCTTAAAAGTAGATGGTGATCTTATTTTGACATTGTGAGAGCGTAGATATGAAATCTGGAATGTCCCTATTTAGACACCTTGAATTCACATCATTTTCATGGTATTCCATGATATTTTCTTATAGTTTATTGTTTATAGCAAGATCAGTCTGAAGCTTTCATCTTGCACATGAAAGGAATGCAGATGAAGGTCTTGTCACTTATAGCAGAAGTGAAATAAAATGATTGGTAAATTAGAAGAGAATGTACAAAATGAAGAGAGTTAAAAAAAAAAAAAAAGTTTTGGCTAAGCTGGTAAAGACAGCTGTTGATCCTGTGATTACATCTAAAAAATGGAGGATTTCCAGGATGTTTCATACAAGCAGAGTACTCTGGGATCTCCTTGGATTAGGTTGTGTCTAGGCTTATTTAAGTGCCAGAAGATTTTAGAATTTAAGTAGCTGCAATGTGGATTGGTCACAGACATCCTATGCATTGGGCAATTTATTTATACAAATACATTGTTGGCTTGAGATGGGGCAGTGCATCCACCCTGTCCCTCCTTGACTTCCCAATGGCCTTTAATACCATCAATCCTGGTATCCTTTCCAATCCTTTCCAACCCTCAGGAAATTGGGAATGGGAGGCATGGGGCAATTGGGATTCTCCTTTTTCCTGAGTCAATTCTAGTCAGTGTTGGTTGGTGGGACAACATTGAGGCCAAGGCCCCTGCAATGCGTTCTATATGAGGCTGCCTTTAAAGAGTATGAAAGCCACAATTGGTCCAGAATGCAGTGGCATGGACAGATTTGGCATTTCATGGCCCACCCACATGATACCTCTGCTCTGTGAGCTGGGCTTCTTAGTATAATTCAAGGTGCTGGTTGTCACCTACTTGCAAGACTGCCTTTCTCCTATTGTTTCTGCTTACCCCACCAAAGCTGCTGGAATTGGCTTGCTCAAGTTTCCTTCTATTAGGAACTGTCATCTGGTGGGACCTTGGAATCATGCCTTCTCTATTGTAGCACCTGCCTTATCAAACAGCATCTCTTCAGAGATTTGAATGGACCCAGCCCTCTTGGCCTTTCATAAGGCATTAAAGACCTGGATGTTCCATCTAAATTTGGACTGGAAAGTTAAACTAGCCGTGCTGGTGGATTTGATTCATTGATTGAAAATGAAATATTGTTAGACCTGGGCATAGATTATTTTATTATTATTACTATTATTTCTGGATTATCATCATGGAGAAAATCTATCTGTGTGGTTGCTAGGAGTCAAAAATAGCTTAGTGGCACATAATCAATCAATCAATCAATCAATCAATATTTTGGATTAGCATTTTGGTTGTTTATTTTCTCAATTATGTTCTTAGTTTTAATCCTCTGTGTGTCACCCAGAGTCACTATTGTGAGATGGGCAGCTATATAAATTGTATAAATAAATAAATAACCAGTCACAACCTGATATTTAGAAAGGCCAAATATTTAATTTTATAACATATTAAGGTTATATCATCTTCTTTCACTTAGGGCTTTATTGACGCATACAATTTGATCAGGGGTGCTTAAATACTTCCATACAAGTACAATGCTACATTATGATTGTGCATTATTATAATGAGCAACAGCAGATCTCCAGTTTACCTCTTCTCTGTCCTATTGTATGGGAAAAAAATCAAAGCTTTCCACTTCTGTGTTATATACTCATTTATTATTAATTAAAATTTGGCATTTTGTTTGGTCTAAAAACTATGGTTAAGATTAGTGGTTTCAGATTGGCTTTTTTAAAATCATAGTCAAGATTATCCATAATTCGTCAAGTTCAAGTTAAATGGCAAATTGTGGTTAAGTTTAGTTTTTTAAAAATCAGAAGGAAAAGCTTCTGTACTTCTTACAATCCATTCAGAGGAGGCAGGACAGGGAAAACCAAGTCTGTGGTGCACTTAGACTCATTTCCATACATAATGTATGAATCAACTGAAAAGCAAATCAGATGGTCTTTCACAACATTTAAGTGAATGCACACCTGGCTCAAAACTATTCAAAGAGTACTCATCAATGGTTCCTCATTAAATTGGAGAAAAGTATTGAGTAGGATGCTACAAGGATCAGTCCTAGGTCCTCATCTCTTTAACATTTTTATAAATGATTTGTATGAAAAAATGGAATTTGTATGAAATGCTTATCAAACTTGTAGATGATGTGGAATTGAGTGGGACAACTACTACCTTAGAAGATAGAAATCAAAATACAAAATAACCTTGATAGTTTGGAGAAAGTAGCTGACAGTAGTCCTAAGTTCTTCACTCAGGAAGTTTTGAAAAAAAGACAACTGAAAGGGACATGATAACACTCTTCAAATAACTGAAACAATGTTAGAAAGAAGGTCTGTTTAGCTCCGATTGCCTCTTAACCCATCTCACTCAAAAGCCTTTGCTCTATCTTATCTAACACAGATTGCCCCAAGCAGAGTATGGCTGTGATCAATTTGCATCTCAGCTACTTAAACCCTAACATCTTCTGGTACTTAGACAAGCCTAGTAGCAGCCTGATCCAAAAGAGATCCCTAGAATATTCTGCTTGTACTAGACACCCAGGAGATCCTCCATTTTTAAGTTGTGTTCAGAGAATCAACAATTGTCTTATTTCCAGCGAAGCTACAACTCTTTTTTACCTCTTCATTCTGTCTATTCTCTTGCAATCTACTAATCATTCCATCATCTTATCTCTACTATAAGTGGCATAGCCTTCATCTGCATTTCCAATATATTTGTAAATTAAAAGCCTTCAGAATGATACTGTTATAAACAATAAACTATAAAAAAAAATCATGGAACATTGTGAGTTAATGTGTCTGAATAGGGACATTCCAACTTTCAGAATTACATTATTACAAGGTCAGAATAAGGTTACAGATGTGGAGTAATGGGTTTAAATTATAGGGAGACCAATTTGATTGAAACTTAGAAATAACTTTGAAACAATAAGAGCAGTTTGACAAGTAGAACTAATAACCAGAGAGATAGTGGAGTCCCCTTCATTGATATGTTCATGACAAGCCTAGACAGCCATATGTCTGGACTGCTTTAATTTTAATTCCTGAACTAACAAGAAGTTGGACTTGATGACTTCCATGGCCTCTTTCAGTCCTATGAATCTGTGATTCTACATTTCAACTGAAGCCTGGATTTGTAAATATTAGATAGAATTATTTACAGTAATTGATGGAAAAATATTAGTGTTGTGGAAATTAATCCAAGAACCTAATAAAGATAAGCAGAGAACATTGTAACAGTGGCAGGAAACTTTACTTAGCACCAAGGATCAGGACAAACTCCTACAATCATGTAGAGTTAAGTTAAGGCAAAGACATAGAAAATGGCTTCTCTGTTTATAGGATATATGGGATGTATATTCAAAAACCTAGTATAAGGTATTTATGGGATGGTTTTCATTGCATTAAATTGGGGAAATCATGAGATTTAGGTGTTGCAAAACCTAACATTCTTACACATGCATAAATCATTCAAAGTCTGTTCCAGCATATTCTTTGTCTATCATTAGTAATTTTGGCAAGGCCTATATCCACTTACCTATTACTGACCGTGTTCCTGCCTGAGAAAAGATAAAGAAGGTAGCTGTTTGCTTATTTGTACAGACAGTTCTTGTTACCTGCAGACAAGGGAAGGAGTGGCTGAAATGGGCACAGACAATTTGGAATAATAAAGGCAGCTTACTAAAATGGCTTTTAGGGAGAAAGGATTTTATAAAGAATATTAAAGATTTTATAAAGAAAAAGATGTTTCCTCTACATTACATTTACAATTAACAATTATTAACTGTTTTGTGTTCTACCAGGCACAGTAATGACAAATAATCAAGATGTGGAATTGGGTGGCAATGTTACTTTGAGATGTACTTTAATACAACATCATGATATTTATCAAGTTACTTGGAAGAAAATAAAGACTGGAAATGATGAAAATATTGCGACATACAACAAAGATGCAGGTCCAAGTGTTTTAAAATACAAAGATCGAATCAATTTCACAGTTTGGAGCCCCCAAGATAGTGCCATTAACTTGTCAAATGTGAGCACTGAAGATAATGGCTGCTATCAGTGCATATTTCTTTCATTTCCTGAAGGGCCTGCCATGGGACAACCCTGTCTTTCAGTTTATGGTGAGTCTTTCCGAGTTAAACTAGCTTCAGTAGGGGATTTATGCAGCTTTTTCTTTAAATGTGGTATTATTACAATAAATCATATGCTTTATTTGAGTGGGTAGAACACTGAATTATGGAAGAAGAAAATAATCAGTAGTCCTAACTCAATACAAACTAGAATCTGGTAGAATCTTACATAAGTTACATAACTGGTTGAAAAATAGCCTACAACTCAGTATGTATTCATTTTATTTTACAGAAGTGAGTTTTTGTTTTTGTTTTTTTGCCGGTGCAACAATACAGTTGATCTCTTTTATAATATATCTAATTGTTACAATCCCTGTAAAGCAGAAACAGGCAGTTTTCAGTTCCCTCCAAAAGTGTTGCAAGTCCCACAATTCCTTGCAGCTAGTTAGAAGACATTGTGTTTAGGACAATTTGGTATCAACCAGATATTTTGAACAACTCCCACAATCCCTTGGATGTTGTTTAGGTCTTATATGAGTTGAAGTACAAAGCATCTGGAGATCTAAAAGGATTTTAGCTAGATTAACTGGATATTATACTATGGGACACAGGACTGACTTATACTTATTTAGTGCAGTACAACATATACTGGGAGGTAACAGCACACTGTATGATATTTGAGAATGCTACCTTGAAGTTATGTGAATTTTCTATTCAGAAGTCCACTTTCCATTTGAAAGCATGCATATGATCTAGGTTACTCCCTCATTCACATTTTATTGCTCACCCAAGCTCCTATATTATCAAGTTTTGCTGTTGTCATTTGTGTTACAGATGATCTCAAATCATCTATATCCTACAACATCTTTGGCAATCATTTGAGTGCCAACTGTTCAGCAACTGGTTTCCCAAGACCCAACATTTCATGGTTTCCACCAGAAGTTGACAAGAAAGAAACAGATATTGTAAATCCAAATGGCACACTATCTGTCATAAGCAACATTTTTGTAAGCATTTCAAATGTTGAACAAGAGCTGATTTGCCAAGTTATTCACAGAGGAAAAACAAAAATCATGAAGCTGCCTGGAAAAGAAAAAGGTAAGTTAGTATAGCAGGTAGACCCAAGACCAGCACATTTCTAAAAGCTAGTAAAATTGGGGGGGAGGGGGGAAAGGGTTGGGAATCTTATTTAGCTGCTAATATTTTTTTTTCCTGTTAATACTTAGAACTAGAGTTTCTAAGACAGAAAAAAATATTGTCCGAATAAGTTAAAAATGTATGAAATAGTTGCATTCAAAGATTACCATGATGTTTGAAGTTATTCATTAAAATCTTCCTGAGCTACGGTTTTGAACAAAGAAAGAAAAATTCAAAATGTGTTGAAAAACAATAAATTTATTACACCGTTCTTGAAGAAATTGGGGTCTGGTTTGGATTTCAAATCTTTCATTGCAGAACTTCAAATGTATTTTAAAATTGGGCATATTTACTGGAACATATAAATATGGTGGTCCTCTGTTACTGTTGTTGAATCATTCTGTAGAAGATTATCCACTTCTTATTGGTAAATTATCTGTCTGTTTTCTTCTCAAAATTATTTGGTCTGTGATTCCGCAGTAGTAAAAAACAGGTAGAAAAATTAGCTACATGAAGTGACCATCATTCTTTTTACAGAACCAGGTTTCTAAGTCATAAGGTATAGAAAGAGTCTTAAAAATATGTTCAGTGAACTTTTAGAAACCAGAGTAGCCAAATGAAAATTCCAAGTCATAGACTTCAGCAGTCTGCATAATAGGTTTTTGAAGCAGAACATATTATACAAATCAAGCAGATTTCCCTCAGAAAGAATTCAGTTTTTTTGACATGGAATTGGAGTTACAGTAATGTAGATTTTTCTTAAAATAATAAAGAATGCATAGATCCCTTTCTATACTCTTGGCTTCAGTAACATTCTCTTTCTTCCATGCAGATCAAACAAAAAACTCCTTTCCTGTGGTACCCGTTCTACTGGGTGTGATTCTTGTGATCCTGGTTATTGTTGTGGGGATATGCTGCTGGAGACGACAAAGGAAAAAACATAGGGGTAAATTATTCAGTTTTATAAAACAGAATTCCTCAAACATATTTTGTCTAATGCATGCATCTGGGTTTGTGCAGTAATGTCTTTTCACATGAATTCAGAATATGAGGTTGCTTGGACTATATCAAGCAAAGATGTTGGTATGGGGTAGCTTGTCAGCCCCATCCTGCTCCTTACACATGCATTTACTGAATATATGGGAGAACAGAACAATCCATAACATTATATTGGGATAGATATTAATTCCACTCAATTCAATTTCTTTGTTTGTTCTGACTGGCAAAAGTTCTCTGAGATCTCTAAAAGACATTTCAGCCCTGCTGACTGAGATCATTTCAAATGAAATTCTTGCGATTTCTCTGTGTAAATATTCTTCAGAAGCACATTGCTTATACCTTCTCGTTGGTGGTTTGTGGGCGACGGTATGTTAGCCTGCAATGTACTTCACTGATAGGGATCCTAACTTGTGTAGGATAACATGAGCATGCTTAAGGTAAAACTGGGCTTTTTCTGTGCTTGTGGCATACTGGCCAAAATTCACCAAAACAGACTATTAGCATGGAATGTTACATGTGGCCCAGATGCAGCTAAGGCTGGTTACCCTACATCTTTGCTGTCTTATTAATAAGACTTACACGAAAGCCTGGATTAACAAAGCCATGATAGATGGCAGGGGTAAATATCTATGGGCTGATCTAGTTATGACCACACCATGCAGAAGATTGCAACTTGGAATGTATGAGGAGGAAATGGTAAGGAGTTTGAACTGATGAATTAAATGCATGAAAGAAAAATAGATACAATCTACAGTATGTCTGTAAAAGAAAAAGAAAGAGGAAGGACATAGCAGAACTTAAATAAGGTGCTTTGATTTGTAAAGTTGAATGCATGCTCGGAAATGCACATGCATGTTTGTTTATGAATGAAAGGGCTAGGATATTTGGCAGAAAATATTAAAATATGTTATATAATGGTTGTGAATGTGTATAAGAGTAGGAATTCATAGGTCAGTGATAGTTGCATAAGATTTTATTGATTTACCAGGTGGCATACTACTCACCCTCATATTTGGAAAATTAACAACAAGCAAATTGAGCAGCTGCAGGCCTTTCAATATCTTGGCATCTATTTTTAGTCAGCCTACCTCCTGGAAACACCAATCTTCCAAACTTATGCTGAGTGAACAAAAAGCTTCTAACACAATGGCTCAATACACAAACAGGAAGGGAAATAACTATGTGCCTACAGCAATTAAACTTCTCAGAGCTAAAGTACAAAGTCTTTTGCTGTATGGCCCAGTCTAGAAGCAGTCCAGTCTAATCTCTTGAGATTTCTGCTCTTAGTTTCTCGCTCTGTTACAAATGCACTCATCCAGCTAGAGCTTGACAGTGTCTCTATCTGAGGCTCTGCTGGTTCAAATACCGGCTGAAATTAAAGGGTGAGCCTCTAGCCCTACTTGTATTGAGAGATGCAGTTGCCTGTGGAAAAAGCAAGTAATATCCAACTTATTTCTTTATGTATTTATTATTTCAATTTATTTGGCTGCCCATCAAATTCATGACTCTGGATGGCTAACAGCAGTTAAAAGCACCATAAAACAACACATAACAATAGAAATAATACATACCTAATTGGCAGCTGAAGTAAACAAAAAATAAAAATAAATTTAAAAACCCAAAGCAACTTGGTTTATCACTCTCCAGTCCATATCTATGCTGGGTCTAGATAAAGTCTGGATTAAAGTGAAGCAGAGACCCGTTGATCTTGATGTACAAAGGGATAGGCTTAACATATCTCCACAACTCTGCTACAACAAGCTCATATACCCACCATTCACAACTCTCAGCTTGAGTCTAAGCTTTTTCTGGAATGCTTTCCCCTGATTTGATATCACCATCATTACTCTAATCTGTTCTTATTTTTATCTTATCTTATATAGTTTTACTTTTGTACTGTTTTAACTTGTACTTTCTATATGTAAGCCATCAAGAGCCTCTTTGATTGCAGAAACATAAACATATGTTAAAACAAACATTTTTACCATATACGTGTTAGTTCAAATATAGTCCAGATATATGTAGTTCCTGCTGTGACATTTTGTATTTTAATTTTGCTTTTGTTGTCTATGGCTATACATTCTATAATAACAAAACCTAATAGTGTAGTAAGTTTGCTATTTTTACTTATAGACTCATATTTTTAATGTATTCTTTTAACAGTTAATTTTCAATTTATCATAACATTGTTCATTTCTTATTTCTTTGACCATAAATAAATGATGATGATGATGATGAAAGTTTGAGAGAATTTATGAAAGAATCATGAATGATGAGAAGTTCTGAATGTAAGATAGACCATTACTTGGTAGTGTCAAAAAAAAAAAAAATCTTGGGAACAATGGACATGGAAGGAAAGTAAAGAAATGAAAGAAATGAGTGAAAACAGAACTGCAGAAACAGAAGGCACAAGTCCTATATGAAAAAATATTAGAATGAATGAAAAATAGATGAAAGGGGATGCTTGGAACAGAGTGAAAAGTATCATTTACAAAGTGCCATACAACTGTGTGTGGAATTATACAAAGATTCCAGGATTATGCTTCTTGGAGTAATTAAGTGAAAAAGATTGCAGAAGAGAAAAAATACACTTAAGAAAATAATTACTGCAAAAAAAGAGAGAGAGGGAGACAGAGAGAGTGACAGAGAGAGACAGAGAATGAATGAGAGAGCGAGAGGCAAAGATAGTTGCAAAGAATGAAACCAAAGAAGGCAAGGAATAGTTAATAGGCACAAAATATAGAGTGATGGCTGGAAATAAAAAAGATAGTTTGGAGTGGGTTGAAGAAGCCTCCAGCTGAGTGAACTGAATTAAAAGTGAGGAAGTGATTTGGAATGAAACTGAAATGATGGAACCATGGAAGAAATATTTTAGGCAGTTGAATGGTATATCAAAAAGTAGAATTGAAATAAATCCTATAAATGTTAATGTTCAAGAAAAAATGGATGAAAAGGAAATCATAAATGCTGTAAGAATAGTGAAAAATAGCAAGGATACATATTGTGATAATGTAGCTGAAGAAATGTTAAAATACAGGTGTGGTTTGCTTATGAGTGGCTGTTTAACAGCTGTATTAAGACTGTTCCTGATGATGGGGAGAATGCTGTTATTGTTTCCACCTGTGAAGGGAATGGTAGTAAGACTGAATGCAAAAATTATGGGTAGGATAGTTTGCCAAATGGTCTAGGAAAGTGTTTATTGATGGTGACTACAATAAGAATTCTAACTGAAAGATTGACTCTGATCACATTTTTGGAATACACTGTGGCTTTATGTTGGATAAGGCATGGGCAGGCCAGATTTTTGCTTTTCAGTAAAAAAGTTTATCATATGTTTTTTTTTAATTTAAATAATGTGCATGCCTTATTTTGCATATATATGAAAGTGAAGGTTGGTTGCTAGTGCAATAAGAACAGTATATGATAGAAGTAAAAGCTGCATAAGAATGAATGGAATGCTTAGTGAATTGTTCAACACTGAGCAGGGAGGAAGACAAGGATGTATGGCAAACCTTTGATGTTTTAATGTATTTATGAATAATTGTAGAAGAAATGTTTGTGCTGCCACTAGGGGTATGCTGGTTGGGGCAGTGAATATATGTGCATTTTGTAAGTAGGTAATGCCATGTTGTAGGATGAGCACCTGAATGATTTTCAGTGATTGATTGATAGATTACATGATACAACAAGGAGAATAGATCTGAAAATTAAATTAAATAGTTGTGCCTGGCAGGGAAAGTGAAATGAACAATTGCAAGTTATACATAAATGGTGAATAATGGGATGCATGAATTTGTATACTTTGGTGTAAGGTGGAAAAGTGGATGGGGAAATTGTAAGGCATGAAAATACTGGTAGAAGCAGGGGTGATATGTTGTCTTTTACAAGGAACGAATTAAAAAAAAGAAGTGAAAATGACTATGTATGAGAGTGTTCTTCCTTCTTCCCTCTCTCTTCTTCCCATTTTGTTGTATGGAAGTAAGAGCTGGGTGTGTTAGAAGATACATAAAATTAAGCTGACTGTAGTGGAAATGGTGTACTTAAAAAGTGTATGATAGAACAAAAAAGATGTCAAGAATGTTTGGGCACAAATGAATATGAATGAACGAATGTGTATTCAATACAAAAGTGAGTATGAAAAGAAGTACATTGAGGAGGTTTGTTCAAATAGAATAAATAAGCATCAAAGTGCACAATAAATATGTTAAGTTGAAAGGAAGGGAAAAGCTGACAAAGTTGTGGTCAGATTGAACTGATGAATGAGATCCTGAAAATAGGAAGATGGGCAATGTAAAATAAATGGCAATGCATGAAGCAGTGTATGGACTTAGTGAAAGCAAGATGTTTTGCAAGGATATAAAGGTATGAGAAAAATTGGTATTGGTGTAATGTATTTACTATGATTCCTTTTATCTCTCTTATCTCTTGCCTTTAATTTCCTTGATTTACTATTTGTAATGCTTTGCATAATTTTGCTAACTGTGAAAAGGAATATTGTCATAGGCATGTCTATTTGCTAAATTTTAAATATTTTCTAATAAGTCGCTTGAACTTTAAATATTTATTTTAGATATTAAGCAAAACAGCATTTAAAAACTTCAACCAACCTTTTCTTGTTTTATGAATAAGCACATTTTCATCACAGTGCAGAAATCTGCTAAAGTATGTTTGGACCATCAACTTTTCTTAATAGATAGAATTGATAGCATGATCAATGGGGATGGTGGAGGTGGGGGTGTCAGTCTTTTCTTTGGAGAGAGATCTTCTTGAAATTCCAAGAGGTCAGATGAATGCTTTGACAGGAAGGGTTGGGGTGTGTTTTCCTGCATATTATCTTAAAGCCAAATGTCATTAGCAGAGATAATGCCAGCTTCCTTTCACAGATAAAATAGTCTGTTACAAATTTAGAACATCTGATACTTAGATATATTTCCTCATGCTTTTTCTCCCTTCTCTAAGATACATTAGAAAAAGGACTTTACTGCATTTTAATTTCAGTTGCCCTGAAAATCAGCTTGCTGTAATATGTGAACCAAGGAACAAGTCACCCATAATTTAAAGTTGGATTTTTTACATACTAGCAAGGAGATTTGCTTGTTTGTGTTACCGTTTTTGACTTGTACATGACAAAAGAGCAATATGGAAAGATTGAAAGAAAGGCTAATAAAGACCTTTTCCTGAATGTATGGATGGAAGAGATGCTGAGAATTCAGTGAACAGCTTGTCAGTTCTTACAAAAGGGAAGGGAAATCAGCTACTGTTCCAGAGAAATTATGCTGTTTTAAAGAACTAGCAACTCTTTGTGCAAGTCCCATCATTTTCTGCTCAATCTATGTTAAGTTTTTCTTACAAAATGTTTATAACTGTTCATCTTACAAAATGCAAATACCTGTTTGGTTACAACAGGAATCCTAAATATCTTTAAAGGATACTGAACTGATTCAAAGCTTCCTTGCAGGGCCTTGGCATTCTTGGAAGAACATTCAGGCTTAAAACTCAGCTGCAAAAGTTGCCCTTCCTACTATCAAACATTTTGCTTTGGTAGGCAATGAAAGGGAACTTTTCCAAAACAGTAGCATTATGTAATAAGCAGGATGTATTTCTCCAGTAAGAAACCTGACCCTGCCATTCTCTTTTGTTCTACTGATGTTTATATAGTAGCTATTAAAAAGTAAAATCTTTCCCCAGTCACATTTGTCTTCCTGGATGCATGTGACTTCCTGGATACATTCATGTAATTTTCTTTCCAGTTTAGCCTACAGCCCTGGGATTCCCCGGAGACCTCCCATCCAAATATTAATCAGGCTCAGACCTGCTTATTTCCCCAGCCCAAAGTCAGCCACATACTGTACCTGCTGACACTGGCAGCCATTCAGAGGAATGTACTTGGTCCAGAAGGGATTTAGTGACTATTGAAATACAGACCACATACTCCTTAGAGGCTATGGGCTATGGAGCAAGAACAAATGCATTTGAAGAAAGAAGTGCTCCAAGAAATAAGCATTTAAGAATACTTTTCTTGGACAACTATATTCTCTCTTCTGGGCCCATGACATAGGGGCTTCAAAGGACATACCTCTTCAAAATGGTCACAGTTCTATGAAAGCATAGTTTTGCTTAGAATTCTAATGTTAGAGGAGAAAATTTGAAACTAAATTTTATCCTAGCCTCAAAACTGTGACCAATATAGGTATGTAGAGGCTAGGCCATGGGATTAAACAAAGCCACCCAATAAAATAAAACAAAAAACAAAACAAAACAGGAGGAGATGTAAACATCTTTCTGCCGTCACCCTCCAAAACACAGAATTGCTTTGCCAATAATTTGGTATGGTTAACTGCTAATGGTAATATAAGGGAGGGTGGCTTTTTGAAGGGAAGATTTTGTAGTGTAGGGTGGCGCTGGAGATAAAAGAGTGAGGAATGGAGGAATGGATTAGTCTGTTTTAGGAGGAGAAAGAGTCAAAGTCATACAGTTTGTAGAATGCTGTGAATGGAGGATTGGATTAGGAGGCAAGGGAAGGGAGACAGGATATGAAGAAGGGAAGAAGAATGTGGCCCTCACCAGACCTGAAACTGAGTGGAAGTATGTGTAAGGCAGATTCAAGCTGTACTCAGACCACGGTAGAGGCAGCAAAGAGGGATGAAGGTGATGGTGGTTCCTTCTGGAGCAGCAGCCACTGGGAAAAGGGACAATTTGGCAGCTGCAGGAGGCATTATAAAAGTGACCTGGCTAGGAAAGGGGATCCTTGCTGTAGTTGACCAATGACAGAGGGCCAGAAGCCAGATCAAGGACTGTTGAGTGGACAGCACAGAAGTCTTGGGAGACAGCCAGCTGGGAGCAATTTTTGTGAAAACTTCTGAGGCCAGCCAAGTAATGGCAGCGGATAGCCATGGAAGGAAAATTGGTCTAAGTGGCCCAGAAATCCTATTGGCAGAATGTACTGGGACTCTGTAGAGAGTAAGGAAGATGACCTTGGCAGCGAAATGGAACTAGCAGCAGAGATGCATGAGGAAGGTCAGAGGTTCTGTGAAAGTTTGGGGGTAAGGCTATTAGGAAGTTACATAAGTGGGGTAGAAAGTGAGCATTGTAGGTGATTGCAAGTGTGACTGTGGTGGAGAGTAGTAGATGGATATTTGGGTAGTGATTATGATTGACAGTGGAAGGTGACTGATTACAAATTGGACTTAGTGGTCTTGCAAAAGTGCCCTGCGTATTGTGGCCAGAACCAGGAAGGACCCATAGGTGCAAAATGCTGGGATCACTGTGGGGGAGGGCAGTATTGAGATAGTGGTGGACAAAGGAAGATATTTCAGGGAGCACTGCAGAGATGATTACAGGAGACGGGAGACCCACACATTGGTGCAGGTCTGTTCTTTTTAACCAGTTGTTCCGACCATGACTAAGATATCTGAATCATTGGACACCTTGGACTTAAGTTGTGTTGTATGTGGCATTACCTTTGAAGACTACTCAGAAGCTAGTTGGTCCAAAATGCAATGACCCATTTATCGGTTGTTGCTTGGTGCCAAAGCAGCTCAACCCCCTGCTTTTTACCTATTTACTTCTGGGTACAATTCAAAGTACTGATTTTAACTTACAAAGCTCTATGTGTTTGCCACTGAAGTATTTTCAGGACTGCCTTCTCCACCAGAATTGACCCACCCATTTGATTTGAATGTCTCAGGAGAAATTTCTATTGATTCCCCATTTTTGTGAAGTAGATGGGCTGAGGATCATAGGTGCTGTTTTTCAATGGCAGTGCTTGTGCCCTGGAATCGCCTCCAGGAAATCAGACTTAGCTTTTCTGGAGCTATTGAATATAGCATATAGTATTTCAGAGAGCTTATGGGAATTGAAATAACTCCTGGGTGATTGCATGATGCATTCTACAATGTTTTGTCTTACTTTTTACCATGGATAATTGTATCGTTGTGCTTTGTTTCTTATGAACCACTGAGTCTTCGCTGATTGTGGTGGTGTATAAAATAAATTAATGAAGCAAGCAAGCAAGCAAATCAGCCTTGGTGATGGTAATTCATGCCCTGATCACCACGCAATTGAACTACTCCAATATGCTCTACGTGAACTGCTTTTGAAGATGATATAGAAATGCCTGTTGTTACAGATGCAGTGACTACAGTAGGAGGGGAGACCTGCAACTGCAATTTGGGTTGTTGCACTAAATGCCAGAGGCTTCCAGGACAAAGTCAAAGTGCTGATTATCCTCCATAAGGCAGTGGTGCTGCTGGATTACACTAGGAACCTCCTTACACAACCTGATAATGCCTGTCCTGTTCAGAAATCTAGAGAGGGTCTGTTTAAGTTTGCAAGAGCTCGGAGAGGTATGGATCAGAAGGTATGCCATCCTGATGGTGGCCTACATACCATGGAACATGCTGCTCCCTAGAGGCGCATGTTGAAAGACACCGAAAACAACATTTTCAGTAGGCTCTTGGTTCCTCACAATGAAAAATGGGCAACATTTCAGTTTCAATATTATTAATGTTTTCGTATTTTAATGATGCTTTTGGGAAACTTATTTCTGTTGCTCTTGTTTCATTGGTGATTTTATTTACACTGCTGATTGAGGCAGTATAGAAACATTGAATAAATATATAAGATTGTTATATATTTTTATAAGAAATATAAAAATAAAGAAGGAAAGAGATGGCGAAAAAGTAATTTGCCACAGGGAATTTAGCTGGAAGATCAAGGGAAAAAAGGAGTTTACAAAAGTAGATGAAAAAGGTTTAGAAAAGTGAGGAAGCGAGAAAGCTCCACTTACCTTAAACAAGAGGAAAAAGCAAAAGCAAAACTGAAATGTATAAAATATATGTCTGTTCTCTTCTAGGATTCTAAGGGATTCAACCAAACCAGTTTCCTCCATGGAATCCAAAAATGATCAACTGTGGATATTATGAAGGAAGCAACAATTTAAATGAATATCTGGTCCAAGCTCTGTCTTCACTTGCCTTGAAAGGATGCTTACATTTCTCTGTAGAAAGCTCAGCCTTCCACAGTGCAGTGACCTCCAAATGGATTGGCTGTCAGCTCCCATAATCCCTCAGCTAAGTACCAATAGTGGCATTGGTACTTAGAACTAAAATTGTAGAATGTGTTGTTTTCAGTAAAACTGTTCAGTGGCCTATTGTGATCATCCCTATTCCTACAGATGTGGACGAATGGCTAGATGATCAACCCAGGACAGATGATCAGATTCATCCTTGGTAGTCAAAGGAAAGTCTCTTTCTCTCTGCCCTCCCCTTCCCCCTCCCCCCACCCAGTACACAGTCAAATATAGATTCACTACAGTTTAATGGAGGAAAACTGCACAATATTTTTTCAAAAAAATTAGGAAATTGTTCTACATTAAGTTCTATTATGGGAGGTAAAGCTTTTAATTCTTTGCCACCATGGGTACTCCCAACCCATATTGGGAGCCCACTGAAAATATACCTTGGCAAAAAAGAATACTTTGAAATACCACCCAAAGTAGGTTCAAAAAAGGAGCAAATGTTTAATTTCCTCTGCCCACGTGCAGTGTTCCAGCTCTGGCTTAGTTCTCACTTTATCCTTGAGCAAGGAAAACAATGCATTTAACCTAACACACAGTTTAATAATATATGTGTCTGTAGAACCTCTGCTTAATTTCATTTTGAGGTTTTTATGTTGTGAAAGGTTCTGCATTTATGCATTATTTATAAATAATTGCCCTACAGCTATTTCTCACATTACTTTTCTAAATTATCTATAGAATACTTTTTTACACATATAACCATATAATATTTGAATGGTATTACCATGCTGCCTGTATACATGCCTGTTAAGAACATGGATGTGCATGGTTCTCTACTAAATACACAATGGTCAATGATGCTGCTACTATAACAGGCAGAAGACAACTGACTGGGGAAGATGTCATCCATCAGACACACATGGTTGACTTCTGTCTAATGACAGGAGGGAAATATTCACCCTCCTAGCTAGAGAATTCCAGATATATTCTGAGGTCCATTTTCAGTGTTCTGCCTAACACAACTTGTGCGGCTGTACTGAAATGAGGAAGGAAATGTACTTTATGCTTTAGCTAAAGTACAGGTGGTCCTCATTTAGCGACCACAATTGGGACTGGCAACTTTGTTGTTAAGTGAACTGGTCACTAAGTGAAACTGCACTCTCCTTATGATCTTACTTCAGTTTTCTTTTGCTTTACAGACCTGCAAAGGGTTGTAAATGTGAGGATTGGTCGTAAAGTTACTGTTTCATCATTGTCATAACTGCGAATGGTTGCTAAATGAGGCATTCACTAAACGAGGACTACCTGTACATTTCCTTGCACAATTCAAAGTGCTGACTTTTGTTTATTTAATAAAATAAAATATAATTTCTATGCAATTCCAAAAATTCCTGGATGAACTTGAGAAAGTGCTTTCTCTGTGATTGTGTTTACAACATTGGGCTACATCATGGGTTGTTTAATATTGGTTTGTTGAATAAGCTACAACTGATAGGTTGACCCATTGCACTAAGCCAGACAACCTATATTATAGCTTCTCATTGGCTTTGGACATCACCTTACTGACTTGTCCTCTGTTATAGAAGTCCATACCTCTCCCCCCCCCAAAAAACCCCAAAACAAAAACAAAAATCAAGTAGCTTTGTCTCAGATAACCTGCAGGCAAAAATATTTTAGATACCTTTTTGCTATAAGCTGACTTTGTAAATCTATTACTTATAGGTTCATCTGCTTGCTTTGAATGTGTTTGTATCTTTTAAAATCTTTTTTAACTTCATATATTGGTGTTACCATGTTGTATTTTATATATATTTTATTATATATATGTTACTGCTATTAGTAGCACTGAGTTTATTACCCAAGATATTAGTTTCTCTTACATATAATAGAAGCAATTCCACAAGAACACTGCCCTTTCTAAAAATGTCCCTTTCTGTTAAATTCCAGTTTATTGAAAGTGTCTTTAAACGTTATTGTTCCATCATACATTCAGTGATCCCCAAAATGCAGGATATTTAGGACATGATTCTGTACAGCTTTCACACTAAAGCTTATTTTCACAATCTGCTGGACGTGGTAAGAAACAGAAAGGGTGGTTCAGTGAAGAGTAACTGAAGAGTAATGATGATGTTATAGTGATTTAAAAAGAAACAGTCCTAAACAATCAGTATCCTAAAAAAAAAAGGGACATAAGCAAGCTATTAATTAAAGTGACAGTCAGCTTAAAGACTAAGGAACACTTGTCAATCCATGCTCAAAAGGGTGATATTTTCACTGCAGTTTTAAGACCATCAATCAAAGTTAATATCCATTTTAGATTAATTAGTTTTGAGTATCCCCCTACTGCAGTGCTACATGGATATATTAATTATGACTTCTTCTGGGAAGGTTATATAAATTTGCACTTATATGGAAAGATTTGCTGCATTTACTGAAAAATATTAAATACAAATTTTACTTTCTACTAGGTATTTTTTGTTTTCTTGTTTTTGTTTTTTGCCGTAATGGGAGATATAGAGAGAAAGAGGAGGAATTGTTGCAGGTGATTACAGCTTTAATCTTCTTTTATGTTTCTATGGGTATCTATATATATATATATATATAGTAACCCATCTTAAAATTTTAGAGTTTCGATATTAAGTATATAAATAAAATATTGATAGTCCACACAGAAAACAATTAAACTGTTATAGCAGTAGGCTTTTTTGATTTAGGTTAATTTAACAAAATACTTCAGTGCTGGCACTAGAATATTCATCTAATTAGAATTAGAAATAAAATATTCCACTATCCTACTATTTTACATATCCTACTGATTAAATGTACTGCAGAGATAAGTTAATGGAATAAATCAATCACTGTTCTTTTAAATTACATCATTTAGTATAAATGGGTTGAAATGATAAAGGCAGGAAGTTGAGAATTTTGTAGAAATTCTTTCCATTTCCTGGCCTAGATCTGAAGACAAGTTAGCGTCAATGTCAATCTGCATATATCACATTTTTATTTGCAAAAGCAGAACACAGATGCAGAGCAAATATTTTTCATTGATGTGTTTCAGAATTCTACCAGTGAACTGTTCAGGATTTGCATCATATGTCAATGGTATTTAAAATCTCTGTTAGAAGATGCATTTTGCTCTACTTCCCTGCTATACGGGCTTGGTACATGCCAAAGATTCTCGAACATTTTGTATCAGCTAACAAGCTCCTGTGCATGAACTCTGTGTATGCAGTAGTACACATCCAACATGCAAGAGGAAGTCCAAACATTTCATTATGTTAGCTGACATTAAAAATATCACCTTTTTTGTAAATACAAAATAAATGAACAAAAACAAAGAACATACGTGAGAAATTTTTAAAAATCCAGAAAAGGTGACGCTATTCCAGGCATCTATTCTCCAAACTTTGGCTCAGAAAAATATGTGCAAAAATGTTTTCAAGTTCAAAGCAAATATCTTTTGAAAGCAAAAGGAAAAATAGGCAAATTATTATCCAACTAATGCCAGAATAAGCAAGCACTTTGGAATTAAGTGATAAAGAAGATTAAATAAAAAGAGCCCAAGCTTGAGATGCAATCTCTTGCTGTCCTGTTTCTCTGTGAATGGTGAGGCAGAAAAAAATCACTCTGTCCTCAAGAAAGTCATGGAGGCTTGTTTTGGAGAGATTGGATTTTCACAAGCAAAGATTTCTTCCATTCCACAGCCCCTACAAGCCTTTGAGTCTCCAAAATAGGAATGGTGCTCCACTCTTCCATATTCTAGTCATGACACTTACGACTTTAGGCATGCAGAAACTGTGGATTATTATTTTCCTCAGAGGGCAGAGCCAGTGATATTTCAGCAAAGCACTGTGTCCTAGCACATCTTTTAGGAATAGATGGTTTACAGAGCTGCTGCTTAATGGAGCTGTTTACAATTTGTAAAAAAAGCCAAATCACTAAAAGCTGCTATTCTTATTAAAAAAAAAAAAATTGTACCACTTGTTGAGGTTAGCCACTCTCACACAATGTGAGAGTGGCTAACACACAATTCAGAAAACCAAAAGCAAACCTCCTACCCTGGGTAGTAACCAAATGTGTACATTTCATACAGTCTGGACACACTCTGGAACTAGTTCTTCTTTTCAAACTGGGAATGCAGAAGATTTTCTCAGCATTTTTATGTTGGACTCCAGTTGCCAAAGTTCATGAGAAGTTTGCACTCATTCTGGCTCCTTTCCTATGTATGTTTATTTCAAAGCAAATACCAGCAGATATGAACATGCATTATGTCAATTAAGAAAACATGCCCAGGGCATGATTCCTTCTAGGGCACAAATAAAACTTGGGGGATATTCTATGTTATTGTTGGGCTTGACATATACTATAAATTTGCAGCAGCATATTAAAGTATAAAACCTTAAAATAGATGAATGGTATGTTTCTAGTCTGTGGTTTTCCCCCTGAGCATTGCCCTGAGTATTTCCATTTTTAGAAGACTAGCAAGACATGGGAAATATCCTCCCACTGGTAACAATAGAATGAATCTATCAGGTTTCAGAAAAATGTCTTCCATTTAATTCACAGCAGTTCAATGTCAGTTTATAGCTGATTATACTTTACATTGCAAGAGGGTTCGTATGTCTCTTCAGAAGTAAGTCCTACTGTAGAGCTATCTTCAGATGTCAGGAGTTGTAGACTTCTGTACCCCTTTGCTGCCACCTAGTGGGCATATGGGATTTTGCAGTCCGAATCTAGTAAACCTACTGAAAGGGTTTAATGGCACTTATTCCCAGGTCAATGGGAATAGAATAGTTTCATCTGTCTTAATTCAGTTTACATTTGAATTTACAGTTGACAGTGGCAGCTCTTTTTTAGTGAAACTTTAAAAACGCTGTCTGCAGTACTGAAGCTTTGGGAAGGAATATGTCTTTCCCCTACCCCTGTCCCATATCCTAATGGTTTTTGAATTTTTTACATTGCTCACATCATTCCATAGGTATTCTGGGGTACTGAAGCATATGGCTAATGAGCTCTAGCTAATAGTGGACAGCAAGTAAACTGCCGTGTTATGTGTCCTCTTAAAATAATTCTGGACTTAAAATCACACCTTTATATTGGAGAGACAATATTTTCTCATATATTTCTCATATTTTTTTGCATAGATATAATCCATGTATTTTTTGAAAGCTGGCAATGGTTCAATAGTGTCTTCATAAATCAACAAAGAAACAAACAAAACCAATATTAGCATTGATGGTGAGAATATGTGGGCACTTCTTTCAAGATGTCCTAGAGAAAGGACTTTTCCACCATCTCATCTTGCTTCATGGAACCTACTAAGCCGCAAAACATCAGCCCCACACTACCAAAGGTGGTTTCATGCATCACCACAAACTAGTCTTAAACAAACCATATTATGCCTTGGTGTGCAACACAGAAGTCCAGCTACACCATGAGGCATCTCAATCCTGGCCATTTTATTTTTGATCCTTTATCTAATAAACAGCCTAGATTTCCTTTTTTGAAATGCTGTTGCACACTGAATCATAATCTTCTTCTAAATTAGTCTCTGCTAATTCAGACCCATTAGCATACATGTGAAGTGAAATGTTTTATGTCCCAACATGTTCTATTGTATCTTTGTTTATACGAATCCCATTTGTATTTTATTACCCATTTAACAAATTTGGGGAGATATGTTTGGATTTATTTACCAATAGAATAGAGATTTATAAATATTCCGTGTCCTAACAGGACTTTATTTTTGTTCTTTTTAAAAATGTTTTTGAAGAAGGATGTAGAATAACACTAAATGATACTGTAAACCATTTTGCATTTTATTATTACATTTATTAAAAATGTGTATGTAAAAAAGCAATACTTTTGTGGCTTTCTGCATCATGTACTTCTACTGTTTATATTTCTGTGTACATCAGTATTTTCAAATGTTTTATAACTAGCATAAACTGTCCCTTGACTCACTGAGATATTAGATATAAAAGGATATGGCCTTATAAAGTCATCTCCTGACATCCGAAATTTCATAGTTTTGTTTGTTTCTCTTCTTGTATAAATGCTAATATCTTTGGTTAGCAGCCACAGACATTTTAAGAATGTAAGAATTTATTAGATTAGGTTAGAATATGGAAAATATAGATACAGGAATG